GCTGAAACTAACAACAGAAGGTTCCACATAATTCAAGTTTTACAGCAAGATGCTTTCAATGAGTACTACCTGTTCATTATTCAAAGTTGCTACTTTCCCGGTGAATCAGTCATACGTATGACAAAATCTGACACGCTGGTCAAAATGTAATAGTCTAGTACCATACTACCACCACATGTTTGATGTCTACTACAACATACACAAATCTGAATTATTCAGAGAATGGAACAGTAAGCACGACTCCAGTCATCATCAAACTTGTACAATTGTCACTTGCGTTACTCTATTATCATCACAATCCAGCAGAATCGATTGCTACGCTATTAACTGAAAGCAACTATCACCCTAGAATTCGAGCTTCCATTGAAAAATATAGCCCACTGCTCTGCACAGACATAGCAATTCAACAACATACGTGCAAGCTTCTTGGACGCTTCCTCATCGATCTCGCAGCAGAATTCGTAGCTCCTGTCCCACGACGCGTCATATATGCACATTTGCGCCTCCTGCTCACTGCATACGCTTTTTTTTCGGGGTATCAGAGATTGCAGTAGAAACAAGAGATAATCTACCTACTACTACCACTGGATACAGAAGGGAAAACTAGTAGAATCACCTTCCCAACACTCTGGCCAGTGTGGCGACGTAGTAGTCGACGGCCTCCGCACGGGACACCTCGCCGACGCCCGCTTGCGCGGGCGGGTCGTCCATGACCACCACCCACCTAGAGCAACGCGGGCGGGTCGAGGAAGCGGGGAGCGGCGAGTGAGGTGACGCGGCCGCGGCGAGGCGGTGGAAGCGGCGGCGAGTGGCCCAAGGGAGAGAAGAAGGGGAGATGTGTGGGATAGAGTTGGCCTGGGCTGTGGCGCCGGTGGCGGTGGAGACGGTGAGGCCGCCGCCGAGGAGGAAAGAGCGGACGGCGTCCATTACCAGAGGTGGGAGCTCGCGGGAATGGCTGGTTACCGGGGGACGGCTAGCAAGGAGATGACGAGCTTCGTGGTGGGCCGAGAAAGAAAGAAATATCTCTTGGCCCTGTGGAGCTGTCAGCCGTATGCGAGCAATGAGCCCAAAGGGCCTCGGGAGACATATTTCATGGAAGATAATTTGTCAAAAAAAATATAATCGATCAGCATTTTCGCAACTCTGCCATCCACCCGGTCTGTTGGAGCGGAGCGAGCCGCGACACCCCACACGGCGCGGCCGCCCGAACCCGCCGTCGGGGCACCGGCGCGAGCCACGACGGCCGACGGAAAGCGTACGTCCCGTCCCGCCCCGGCCGGCGTCGACGAG